AAAAAATTGACTATCTATGGCCTAATAAACAAATATCGATGCAAACTACATATTCCAGTGTATACCTGTAACAAAATACAAGTTTTCGTTTGCACTCACATTTGCGCAGAGACGACTATTCAAAGAGAGAGAGAATCTTCTCGTTTTCTATAACAAGTGAACACACTAAAGGGTCATGGACCAGTCTTTGTGCAAATCCAGTTCAACTGGCACGCACATATTTACTATCCTATATACTATATATATATATACACATATTCCATTAAACTGCCCTTCGATATATATACGAGAAACTTGGTACCACCAATCACACTGGGGATATATTCAAGCCCACATATTGAGACGATGGAAAAAAAAAGTAAAAGAAAAAAATTCAAAAAGGCGAAAATTATATGCAATCACCAATAAAATATACGGATTTACGGAATGTCGTCTCGTTAGCGATTTCTTAGTTCTTATTCAATATATATATATATATAGCACTCGCACAAAATAAATTTTTTAAAATAATTTTCCACGAGATATTGTACATATAAATTTCAAAAAAAATTATTGATTTAAATTTTTTGGTTTGTAGAAAAAAATCATATTGTGTATATTCTTTTCAGTCTATTGTAGCAAATTTTTATGCAGAGATTTCAAAAAAAAATTGTTACACATATATGCATCTTTTTTTTCTCAAGCTACGCGTTTCGAAGATAAGAATAGTAAAAATGATGCTAGCACCTTTTGAAGTTATTATTACTCTCGTGTAACTCATTATCGTTGATTACCAACGTCTGGTATAGTCTGGAAGTGTACATTTTAACTTCACGAGTCAGTGACACAGAGAAGTCGTGAGAATCTTTTCATGGCTTATAGAGAGAGAGTATAACGCCTCTGCCAAGTACAATGACCATCTTCAACTCTCGCATATAATGACTTATGCACATCCTTCCTGCGATTATCTCTTGTCACTGTCAACTTTTCTCTCATCTCTTTCTTTCTCTCTTTTGACAAATCGATCTTAAAAATTATTCTATTTCGAAATAAAAAGAATTTGAAAAAACAAATATTCTCTAAAACTAACAATAGAATAATTTTTTATATTTAAAAAAAATATACAAAATAAAAATAGTTGATTTTAAAGACGGGCATAATAAAAAGATAAACTCTTTTATGGATGGTGAGAAGCAGGTGTGTTTGTAAAAATGAAACAGAATCACCTGCTATAAAGAAAGAGGGTATTTTTTTCGGTATACAGAATAGGCACAGAAAACATAGTGACATTAAGGTTGTAAAAAAAAGTACGTTGAGGTCAACCGACTGTATCGCGTGTATATATATATATATGTATAGTACTGAACTAGCTTTGTGTAACTTATATTGTTACACTTTGGTTACATATATATATGTATACACAATTACACACATTGCTTACCGGTTTGAGCACACTCTTAGTATCCGGTTACGCATTGGTGACCCGATTACGCACGCTTTTTTGCACTAGTGTATATATATGTGTATCTTTATTGTTACGGCGCACGAATAATTACAAGAATTATATTCCATCATTTATACTTGGATTTAAATCCTTGAGATAAATTTTTCTAATTTTCCATGTACTATATTTTTTGATCAATATATTGATTTATATTGACATTTAAAATATCATAAATACTAATTTATATCGATCAAAAACTATCAAATGATCCAAATTTTTATTGATAAAAACTATAATTTATCCTAATTATTATCAGAGATCCAAAATTACTATCGATTCAAAATACAATAATTTATCCGAATCATCAAATTTTTCCAATCCAAATTTTTATTGCCCAAACTATAAAAGATCGAAACTACTATTGATCCAAATTTTCATTGATCCATACTACAATTGATTCAAATCATCAAAGATCCAAACAGCTATTGGTCAAAACTACCATTGATCCAAACTACAATTGATCCGAATGATCAAAGATCCAAACTGCTATTGATCCAAATTTTTATTTATCTAAACTACTATTGCTTCGAACTACAACTGGTTCGAATTATCGAAGATCCAAATTTCTATTGATCGAAACTACTATTGATCCAAAACTACTATTAGTCCTAATTATCAAAAGTCCAAACTATATCCAATCAGAATTATCAAAGATTTAAATTTCTATTGATCCAAATAATCAAAGATCCAAAAAATTCTATTGATCCAAACTATCAAAGATCCAAATTACAATTAGTCCTAATCATCAAAGATCCAAATTTCTATTGATCCAAACTACTATTGATCCAAAACTACTATTAGTCCTAATTATCAAAAATCCAAACTATATCCAACCCGAATTATCAAAGATCTAAATTTCTATTGATCCAAATAATCAAAGATCTAAATTTCTATTGATCCAAATAATCAAAGATCCAAAATTCTATTGATCCAAACTATCAAAGATCCAAATTACAATTAGTCCTAATCATCAAAGATCCAAATTTCTATTGATCCAAACTACTATTAGACCTAATTATCAAAGATCCAAACTACAACCAATCCGAATTATCAAAGATCCAAATTTCTATTGATCCAAACCTTCCCTTGATCCACATTTCTATTGATCCAAACTACAATTTATCCAAATTATCAAAAATCCAAACTGCTATTGATCCAAACCACCATTGATCCAAATTATCAGAGATCCAAATTTCTATTAATCCAAACCACCATTGGTCTAAAACTATCAACTTTCTGCTTCGGAAATTAGTAAAAAAAAAAAAAAACACTAATTATTAGTAAAAGTTACCAATTTTTAATGAAAAAAAAAATAAGTGAAAAAATAGTCAAATTTTACTAATTGAATTAGTTATCATAAATTGTCTTTATTTTCTTTTTCTTTTGAAATTAATGACTATATTTTAAAATACTATAGTGATGATTCAATTAGAATGAAATCTTGAAATTTGATTTCATGAACATTAATATCTATTTGGATTATTATATACATATATATATATATATTATATAGACACATATATTTGATCTAGCTGAGAGCAATAATGTACGACGTAATTGGGTGTATAAGCATCTTTTAAATCTTCCTATTAAAGCCATCCGGCAACTCATATGGCAAACTAGTCACGTCTCTCTAGATAATTTAGTATAACGAAACGTAACACACAAACTCAATATTGTTAAACTAAACTGCCAGACGTCAAAATTATTTTCCTTCACGATAAATCATAATTGTCGTTTTTATTTTTGAAAGAATTTTAAAAAATAATAATAATAATAAAAGATTTCTAAAAACAAAATGTTAATTTTTTTAACCAATGAAAAGGAAAAGTGAAAGATAATCCTTCGAGTTTCCACGCATTGCGAGGATGAAAGGAAATGAAATTTCCAAGCTTATAGAACTAAATATCGTGGACATGAAACTCCGCATGGATTGCGCTTTTAATCGCGAAAGTAAATTGCACATCAAAGCATAATGTTGGCTTATTAGCTTCTCAGAGTTTCTATGTGGCGGAAACTCTTTTACACTTACGGTTTGAGAATATATTATTACTTCATATATATATATATATAGTTCTATGGAATGCAGGCGTTTATACTTAAAATAAGGCGCACTAATAAAGGGAAATTATTTCACTAATAAAATACAACTTAACGCCATTGTTTCTTATAGGTAATATGAATAATTCTATTATACAAGCTACACGGAAAAAGAATTAATTAACTACAGATGCTACTTCTTATTCTTGTAAATGTTTTCAAATTTATAACGAATAAACTTTTAGAAATACCATTTCCTCAATTCATATATATACGAAATTAGCAAGCATTTACACAACCTGGAAACGATTACTTTCGTTAGGTTCTAAACTTAACGGCGAGGGTCAAAAGACTCGATAAATGTCTCTCGCGAGAAATATTAAATGATCAATTACTCTCAAACGCGTTTGTTTGAACTAAATATAACCATTTTTTTTTTTTTGCATTCAAACAATTTTTTTGGTTATTTCAAATAAATATTTATTCGATTTAAATAAACATTTAGTTTATTTGAATAAAATTGTCTCCACTTTGGTCCATTGTAACTCGGATGCTGCTGTTCCTATCAAAAAATATCACAAATATTTTTGGTCCATTGTCGCTTGGATGCTGTTTGTCCTAGCAAAAAATATTCCTTTTTTTGGCCATTTTGGTCCATTTTAGTTCGGATGCTGTTTGTCCTAGCAAAAAATATTCCATAAATTTTTTTTTTCACTGTAGCTCGAATGCTGTTGGTCCTATCAAAAAAATATCCAACAAATTTTTGGTCCATTTTAGTCCATTGTAACTCGGATGCTGTTGATTCTATCCCAAATGTTCCGTTCTTGAAAAATTCTCAAAATTTCCAAAATTTTTATCCACTTTTCAAAAAGTATCCCATACATTTTTTTGTAGATCACAAAAATCTATTGTTTTTTTTTTTCTTTAAAACAAATTTTTATCACTTGAATGAATCCATTCTTGCATCTAATAAGGGGATTTAAAATATGTTTGTTAAAGCATTTTTATTCTTTTTATTTGCGATTAATCGCTCGTATTGCGTTGGGGTCCGGCAAAATGATATTTATTCAGACTGTTTAATAATGTCGACCCACCTATTAATATCAAAGTTCTCTGCTACTCCATAATAATCTCGAGACCCTCTTGAAAAATGAGTACTCGAGGGAAGCATTCTCGTTGAGAAATTACTGTTCTTTAAATATGTGTATACATTCAAACCCAATGTTTGGGTTACGCATTTTATTCAAGGATATTATTGTAATTTATTATTTGATTTTATAGCTTCGCTATTACAAAACATATTTGCATACAAAGTGTACCATTAACACTTTATATATTTATATATACTAAACAAATGCGTCTCAAAATTAATAAACGATACACTATTTTTCTCCTTTAATATGCATTATATTAATTATTTTATTTTAATTATTGTTTATAATATTAAAAAATATATTAAATTTTTTTTATTTTTCAGCCACAAAATTTGGTACTGACGGGTGAATTTCCTGATTGCGATGTGAAACTTTGCGATTTTGGAATTTCTCGGTACATCAGTCATGGTGCAGATATTCGTGAAATTTTAGGCACCCCCGATTATGTTGGTAAGTAAATTTTTATTCAAAAATTTAGTGTTTTTTTCTTTTTATGTGCGACACATTTTTTTTTTTTTTTTTTTCTAAAAATGCAAAGTCGATTGAACATTTTTCAATAGCTCAATCACTTGAACCTTGCCTCTATAAGGCTTCTCAATGTCACTTTTAGTAAAATTCCCAGCTTGATCAATAAAACAATGTGTAATTCCATTAAAGAAGTCTGGTTACATAATACATAAATTCCGCTGAGGTAAAATTTCAATTCTTTATTTTTTTTTCCTTTTCAAATTAATTAATAAATAATAGAGAAACTAATTAATTAATTTTCTCAATATTAAATAAAGAAAATATTTTCTATTTATATATATATATATATATAATTTTTTTTTTTTAGCCCCGGAAGTTCTCAACTACGAGCCAATAAGTCTGGCCACCGATATGTGGTCAGTTGGCGTTTTGTTGTACGTTCTACTAACAGGTTGTTCGCCATTTGGAGGAGATACCAAACAGGAAACATTTTGTAATATTAGCCGATGTCGACTAGACTTTCCTGACGATCTTTTCGAGGATGTTTCCAAGGAGGCACAAGATCTCATGCGAAAACTAATGGTCAAGGATCCAAGGTGAGCAAATAATAAAACAAGAAGAACAAATTCTTTCTTTACCTTCGAAAATATTCATACAAAGCTTTTAGATATATATCTCTCTATAATATTCTTTTTATTAAACTCCCTCACTTATTTACCAAAACCTAAATCAATAACATCTCTCTTATATTGATAAAATTCGAAAATATTTTCTTCAAGAATTCTTAATAGCGAAAAAAGTAAATTAATTTCAAGATCATTATCAATATTTTCGAAAACTGCTAAGTTTATTTGAGCAAAACTTGAATTGAAAAAAAAATTTGCTCTTGAATTTTAAATTTAAATTTGAATTTAAAATAAATGAGAAATAAAAATACAATAAATAGCCTAGAAAAATTCACAAATTAAAATTTTTATTTAATTTTTATAAGATTTTTTTTTTTTTTAATTCAATTTTGGAATTTAGACATTAGGTAAATCTAAAAGTTATGTATATTTGTTTCTACGAGATTTACTTTTCACTCGAGATTCGTTTACCTCGAGAGACAAATGCCATTGTCATCATGAACGAATCACCTTTGATCCTGAAGATTTCTCACGCAAGGCCACAGCCCAGTTCTCAAGAGTCTACCGCGAGTTATTCTTGGACTTTTTTTTTGCGCACCAACCGTTAACAAAAAAATGATGATGATCCTAATGCGAATCATTGACTACAAAAGATCATCGTGGGCAAATAAATCGACAAATCAGTAACCTCGCACATTAGTAATGCTGAAGGTAACAGCGTGAATAAATAAAAAAATTAAGCCTAATAGTCAATTGCTATACAGTTCTTTTTTTTAAATATTTAAACGAGAAAAAGGACATAATACACGGAAATTAATCCTCAGGGTCTCGTTACATTTCTAAATCAACAATATTTCGTCGAAAATTCTCATGCCTGATGAAAACGGAATTATTAACAAGAAAGTTCATGGCTTAAATGAAGATTTATTTACTCTGGGTGTAGTGAAATGTTTGAGATGAGAATTATTTGTATATATAATCATCCAGGATGACGAAGATTAAAAAGTTGAGCAAAATTTTTGAACAGTACAAACACAGGACTGATTTAGCCTTGAATTCAATGAAAAAGTTGCGAAATTTTTTCATTTATATTCCCTCACAAAGCGATTTTAATTAGGATCAATGATGATTTGGATCAATAGTAGTTTGGATCAATAGAAATTTGGACCAATGATAGTTTGGATCAATAGTAGTTTGGATCTCTCATAATTAGGATCAATAATGGTTTAGATCAATAGTAAAGTGGATCTTTGATAGTTTAGGTAATAAAAATTTGGATCTTTAATGATTCAGATCAATTGTAATTTGGATCAATAGTAGTTTGTATATCTGATGATTAGGATCAATGGTGGTTTGGATCAATAGTAGTTTGGATCTCTAATAATTACTATCAATGGTGGTTTAGATCAATAGTAGTTTGGATCTTTGATAATTAGGATCAATGGTGGTTTGGATCAATAGTAGTTTGGATCAATAGAAATTTGAATCCTTGATTATTTGGATTAATAGCAGTTTGGGTAATTAAAATTTGGATCATTCCTGATTCGGATCAATTGTAGTTTTGATCAATATAAATTTGGATCACTAGAAATTGGGACCAATGATAGTGTGGATCTCTAATTATTAGGATCAATGGTAGTTTGGATCAATAGTAGTTTGGTTCTCTCATAATTATGATCAATAATGGTTTAGATCAATAGTAAAGTGGATCTTTGATAGTTTGGGTAATAAAAATTTGGATCTTTGTTAATTCGGATCAATTGTAATTTGGATCAATAGAAATTTGGTCCAATGGTGATTTGGATCAGTAGTAGTTTGGTTCTCTGATAATTCGGATCAATAGTGGTTTGGATCAATGATAGTTTATATTAATGGTTATTTAATTTAACAGAAGTATTCAATAAGTCCAATCAATAATTTAAGTCTAAGATAATTTTTCAACTGTTAATTCTTTTTGTGAGGATAGAAGAAATTTTTCGCTAGTCAAAACCCGATAATTTACATAATTGTCAGCAAAATTTCAAGAGAAGAATGAGACCCTAAAGTAATTTAGAATTAGAAAAGATATTTTTTTTCAACATATTATAACAAGGAGCCACACCTGCTGAACCTGATAAAGTAAACGATTTAAATAATAGTCGAGACAAGTCGGAACAATGGGTGGGTTTATATTGGAGAGAAAAAGAGAGAGAGAGTCTGGAAAAAATTCATTATGTATGGTGTTCATTATGCATAGTCCCGGTCTAGCGTTACATCGCATTTGTTGCAAGATGACTCGTACATTTGTATATTATGAAGATAAAAGCAAAGTATCCCGTGTGGATAGGATCCGTTACTGCTTTAAAGTAACGTTGTTTCGAGAACTAAGGAGAGATGTGCAAATAAAAAAAAAAAAAAAGGGAAAAAGAAAATCCAAGAGGAAGCACTAGGAAGTGTATAGACTATTTCGATAGCGTGCACAACTTGAAATTGCACCAACTCTTTGACCACGTCCAATTGCTATTGACTTGAGAGAAAACTTACGTCTTGCGGTACTAAGAAGTAGATGATGATAATGATGATGATGATGACTGAGCAAGTATAGCAAAGTACGCTCATTCAAACGCATTGTCTTTGGTCCCATATTTGACCACACCTCTCGTCACTTCCTTTATCATTTCTCCAAAAATTCTGCCTTCATTGTTTTCAACAGGGTTCATTCTTATCAAATTACTAAAATTCAGATTAAGGAATTAGCTCGAAGTTGTTTCGTTTAGGATCAATGTTATTCTGATTAAAATAGAATTATGTAAAGAAGAAAATGAATTGAATAGCTCATACTTTAAATGGATATTTAAAGACTTGGACTTGAAAATTGTGCGAAAATGGCCTTTTAATGTAGTTGAAATGGAGCCTTTTTACGTAAAAGAGATTTTAATGATCCAAAACATAATAATTTTTTCTCTTTTTACTTTGCTACCGTTACCTTATCAGAACGTGAAACCGTAAGATCAGGTTTAGCCAAGTTGAACCTCAGGCGCATTACACCCAGAATAAGAGAAACAGAATCGTAAAACCTCGACATTTATTGCATTGGACTTATAAAGTTTGATACTTTTACCGGTTCTTCGCTAACTCACTGCCAGTTGTTGTTTCTACAAATAAATAATCAGTCGTTGACCTTCCGGCAAACAGGTGGACTGGAATAAAAACAAAAAAAAAACAAAAATAATTCATTCCGCATAGAAGAACCACTTTCTTTTTTAAAAACGGAAGGAAAAGACAGAAAAAATAATTTCCTTGTTATCGCAATGGAAGTCCGGAACAATGCGCAACAGCTGACAGGAAATTATTATCAAGAGATTATTTAAAAATTACTATCATCAGGACTCTATCTATAAACTCCTAGTTATGATTATGATTTTTTTTTACATTTTTCCAACTCTAACAATCATTAACGAAAAATTAATTATCATTAAATTTTGAAATGCTAAATTTTAATTTTTGTTTCAGGGAAAGACTAACAGTTACAGACTGTTTACAACATTCTTGGTTCACATTATTTGACGATCCAGTGGCAACTCTATCAACGACAGTATCCCTAGAAATTGAATCAATCATGTCAAATTCACTAGTTCTTTTGGAAAAGGAACCACTGCCAAAAAGATCATCGACACCTGAACCTGACATCTGTTCTTGCTCGAAACCTTCAAGTAGTTCATCATCAAAAATTGATTCAGAATCAATTAATCAAGGTACAAATGTAGTTGATGGAAAATTGTCAGTAACACGAGCCATTTCTTCACATACAGAAAATATTTATTCAAAACCAAAGACAACGCCATTAAGAATTGGTCTTAGTGCAAATCGAAGGGATACATTTAAAAAAAATATGGAATCATTGGCACAAAAATTTTCAACAAGTACAGAAATTGTTATTTTAGAAGGAAATGGATCGAGCAGCAGTAGTAGTAGTACACAAAGAAGAGCAACTGCAACTCATACAATGCCAGCTGGTGAAGTTTTTAAATGTATGCCAGTTTTTATTTTAGGCGAAGAACAACAATGCAGCGACAGTGGAAGTGATACTGTCTCGGAAATATCAACAGATAGTTCCAGTGATCGTAGTTCCATTTATTCGGATGATTCTCTTGATTTTATTCTCTATGGTAAAAGTCAAGGAAGAGCAAGTTTTCCATTTACGGGTCCAGAATCTGATAGGTAAATATTATTTTAATTATTCTACAATATTCAAAAACTAAAATTAACAATTTATCAAAATTACTATGGATTTAAAAATTGTTTTTAAAATTCAAAAAAAAAAAAAAAAAAAGGAATTACATAATTTCTAATGAATAAAATTCGTTTTGCAGGTGGGAACAGAGGCATCATCAACGTGTATGGCCTAGGGAGTGCAACGGTGTCGTGAGCAAAGCCCTGAGCCGTTTCACAGAACCTGGATGTGGAAAACTAACCAAGAGTACAACTCCGCCAAGTTCCAGGGGAAAAACAGGTTTAGAAGCACTACGTGAACGAGGAGGTAACCTCGTCGTGATTAGAGAGCCCGTTAGAGCCGGAAGGTACACAAGATACAGCGAAGTTCAATGCGAGTCAGTACAGGCAAGAATTCGAAGGTTTCAAATTCACGGAGGATCCTAAATTCATTTCAAAATTCATAGAATTTTTTTTCTTTTTTAAAAAAAAAAAAAAATTCTCTGCTTTTTATCGAAAAAATGATTTTCTCGATGAAATAATAAACTGTGTATGGCGCTGTGCGTGCTCAACATATTATATAGGCAGCTTGGAAACCTGTCTAGGGCCTCGTTATCTCTCTCTTTCTCTCTTGAGGGATAGACCAACGTTCAGTCATTTTTATTGTAAATAGGAATGCGTGCTCCGTTGTAAATAATGTAACGAGTGTGATGATAATAATGATGCTGTTGATAAAAATTATCTTCCATTCCGATGGAATGTGTGCGAAATAATGTAAATAGAAGGATAAAAATATGGTGCGAAAGAGAAATTTAAAAAAATTTTATATATATAAATAATATACTCGGATCAGCGGGGCAGTTGCAAGTCTGCCGAGATCAATCGATAGACTGATTTACCGTCCCTTCGATATGCGATTAACAATTTATACTATTTTTTTTTCGCCAAAACTGCCATTTTTATTTTTTTCTTATCATTGGCGAAGATATTTCAACAAAATTATTTCCAAATCTCAATCAATCGACGAAAAATGATACCGTCAAATTAGTTATTCTTACAATTAATTTAAATTAAAAAAAAAATTTAATTATAATTGGATAAAATTCTAGTTTTTCGTTATCATTTCTTGTAATTTTCTCGAAAAAAAAAATGTGTTCATCAAATCATAACATTGGTGCCTTGAGTAAAAAATGAGAAAAATTTTTACTGATTCAAAATTGTAATAAAATCCACAAAGATGGAAAATAAAACGAATCAGTTTTTTTTTCTCAGAGAATGTTTACATAGTGCCTAATACTTTATCCCTACCCGCCAAATGTATAGAAAATGTTTATTCGTAAAATAAATCACTGGACTTATAGGGGATCAATAAAAAAAAAAAAAAAAAAAAAAAATTAGGCTTTTAAAGATGCCGTGCCTTAAATCGATAAACGCCTATCAAAATTAATCTCCCCAATCGAGATTAAAATCAATTAAATCAAAATTTTTTAAATAGAGAATAATAGAAATTGATTTAGTAAATTTTTCTTCTCATGAAATATCAATATTTACTATGTAAAAAAAAATATTAATCAGTATAATTAGGCTAATTAATATTTTTTTTTGGCGAGAATTAAAAATACAGGTGCGGCGAAGAAAGAAACTGTAAGATAATTTTTTTTTCGATTAATTTATCGATAATTTAAATTAATTGCAAAGCAACGACTGCGAAACGTTTCAAATTTTTGATTCTACGATTTATTAGAAGATCGAGAGGAATGCGCTCTACTTTGTAAATGCTAGTCATAATTTTGCGAAGATCCCTCGAATCTCTAAATTTTTAAATTTCATATAAATTTGAAAAAAGAAACTTTATTTCTTTCACGAATTTCCTATATGTGGTACACGCTTTCATTGGACTCTGAGCCAATAAATGACGTGGGCTATCTTTTTTTTTTTTAATTACACAATAAGAAAAATATTTTCTAATTAAATTATTGTCCGTTAAAAATGGAATGATTAATTTATTATTAAATTATTGTTTTAATAAAATTCTTAACGTTTGCTAACATTAAGAATTTAATTTGTTATGTGAAAAAAATCTTATTTATTGTACAATAAATAAAATAAAGAAATTTAGAAAATTAAAATAAAATATTGTAATTAAAATTTTTTCTTTACAAAAAAAAAAAAAAAAAAAAATTGAACATAATTTAGAAAATATAATTGAAAAATTTTAAAAATATTTTTAAAAAAATTTAATTTATCAATTCAGTGAGTCAAATAGCTAAATTTATTTAAAATTAATCAAAGAAATTATATGTGTAAATAGATAAATTCTAATTTGGTGAAGTAAATTAAAAATATAAATTAAATTATTTAAATTAAATTAAATACTAAAAAAATTTAAAAGAAAAAACAATTAAAATTGTTATTTTTTATCTAATTGAATTATTTCTAGAATATTCTAGAAAATCTTTTTTTTTTAATTGACAAAAGGAAATTTTGTGTATTGAAACGCCATTTTAGAAAATGGAACGTTTGCAAGTCGTAAACCCGTGTGATACTATTGCGCACAATCAATAAAAAAATAATCGAGGACAACGCTCAAAAACAAATTTATTTGTAAAATATTTTATTTACAATCCGAAAAAAAACTCGGACCTAAGGGGAAAAAAATGTTTAGAGCGTTGTAATTAAATAGAAAAAGTGTATAATAGTTTGTTTTTTTTTGCTACATGATGAGAGTATCCTGACTGGATAAAGATTGCGTTTTTTTTTCATTATAAAGTTCAAGGCGAATTTGATATTTATTTTATTAATATTTAGATTGTCTTTATAAGTGGATTATTTAATAATGGTTCAGTATTTTCGTATCTTATATTTTTTTTTTTTTTTTTTGAAGGAACCTCACGTGAAATGTATGTTGCTGATTTTCCTCAATAATTATCGACGCGCTCCTTCCAACGAGATATTCGATTTATTATATACACTTACATTTATTATATTATCGTCGTCAGATTATTGAAGTTAATGTTAATTAGTTGAAAATTTGCATACGCACTAAACCTACCACTGTAAATATTATTTCGATAATTGTATTAATTTTAATAACGACATGAAATACATACTGTCATTTGAAAAAAAAAAATTCTCTTTATTTATTGATACTTTCCACTTTACTGTTGACTTTTCTATAATTATTAATCATTAAAATAAAAAAAAAAATTCTGAGAAATAAACTTTAATCATACTTTTACTTTAAGTAGATTTTATGTAAACATTTAAGGTTGTCATCATTTAGGCGCTCAAGTGCAACGAGAAAGCTTATATGAAAAAAAAACAAAAAAGGAAATTCTGAATTAAAAAATTGGAGTGGTGATTATTTATTCCAAGAAAAAGTGACTGATTCTGATTTTAATTCTAAAACAAAGAATTTATACCTTTATACAATAAAAAAGAACATAAAAATAAATTTTGATCTCAAATTTTCTAAGAAAAATTTTTTTTTTTGCAAATTTGTTATATTAACATTCCTAGACAGTTGTTAATTACTATAATATTATCTCTATAAATAACTCTCGTTAATTGTAAAATGCAGGTGAGAAAAAATGATTCATTTCGCACGTTATTTATCACTTCAAAGATATTTAGATAAAATCAGACTTTTCAAAAGTAAAGAATAAAGAATATTTATAAATAAACTTGACAAAAAAATGTCAATTTAAATTGCACGAACAAAACTAATTATTCTAAATTAATTCATCTAATTTATTTTAATTTAATTACTTTAAAAAAAAAACACGACCTTTTTAATCTAAAAAAATCCAAACTTTAATTTAGAAAATATTTTTCTTGAAAAGTGATTTGTTATTTTATTTTTTAACAATAAAAATAATTATTGTAATAATTTATATATAATATTTGTTTATCATTTATTAAATAATAAATGGAGTTTTAATTATTATTACATAATATAGCGACAACAATTTTAATTACGATCAATTCGTTAATATATATTAATAATCGTGAAATTGCATTTTGCTGAGATAAACGGTTGAAGTTATACTTTTTCATTTCACTTTTGGTACATAACTTATAAGGTCGTGTTTTTCATAAAAATTCTCGAGGCAGGAACGAAATTCTGCTACTTTTTATTATCAATTCAACAGAAGCGATAAATTAAACATGGAATTGACTAATTACAATAATATCACTAGAATGCGTTTATGTTTTTGTGGTAAGCCGAACAATTTTCTTTTTCCTTTGATCATACATAATTTATGTCTCCAGAAACAAATCTATTAAGGTCAATCTCATTTCTTCATTTTTCATAACAAAATTGACAATAATAAAAAAAACAAAACTTTAAATTTCTTTATAATTATTTCAATTATTGATCGAGATATATATATAATATTTATTTCTTCTATAAATTAAATAATTCAATTAAATAATAATAATTAATTTTTTTCTTTATAATTAATTATTAAATTTATAAATTATTATCAATATAACAAATTTTATTTAGAAAATATTTTTCTTTCTTTTCTAAAACTAAATATAATATTTATTCTAATAATCAGTATAATAAATTTAATTAATATTTAATAAAAAAAAAAACAATAATTATTTCTCACTTTTTTTATAAATGAAACAAAAAAGGAAATAAAAATGAATTTTTAAAACAAAAATTCAGTTCAGTAATACAATAAAGATATTGATCTTCATAATTCATGAAAATTTACGAGCGCCCATAAGTTTTATGGCAAACTAGATTTCTCGTATTCCTTTTTTGATCAGTTTTGCAAGTGAAGAAATTAAAATTCTTGAATCATGTAAAAATATCAAATATCAGTCTCCTTTTCTGAAGCAAATATCACCTTAGGCGTTTTATATATTGGTTTCAAGAACCTGTTAATTTAGTCATCTATCATTTTTTATGTGTACGTTAAAAAAAAATTGCCATTATAATTCTTTTCAGCTTTCGGCATTTTACTTTTCTTAACAATTTGCGAAAAGCATAAACAGCTCTCTCTTTATATTTTTAATAATTTATAAATTTTAATACATTTTTCCGTCTAATAATTTTTCAATTCAAATTATTATTTTCTATTAAATTGATTTTTGATTTCAAAATTTATTGTATTTTCAGAAAAACATGATAGTTTTTTTTTTTTTAATTTATTTAATGAGACAAAATAATTTAAAAAAAAAAATAACTTTAAATATAAATAGAGTAGAAAATATTTGAAAACTTTAAGAAACAACAAAAGTTACGTTTAAAAGATAATAACTAACTAATTAAATGTGAGAATGTTAAACGAAAGTCGTAATTTTTAATAAAATTAAAATTTTCTTTTTGCAATCAAGGCGTGTCAAGAATGTTAAAAAATTTACATAACAAGGCATTTTCAGCATAAATTTCAAGCTTGAACTAATTTCATTTGCACGAATAGCAAATCATATTTGACGAAAAATGATGATTTAAGAATATTTTTTAATACACTTTTATGATCGATAAATAATTTTCAAGGTTGTTATAAGTAAAGGATTGTAAATTTATTTTAAAAAAATAATAAATATTCACAAAAAAAGTAAATTCTATATTATTTTTTAATTATTTATATTAAATTTTATAAAAAGAAATAAAATTAAAAATAGTTAAAGAATAAGAAAAATTAAAAAAAAAAAATTATTCAAATTAATAAAGAATAAAATTTATATTTATAAAAAAAAAAAATGTAAGAAAAGATCCAAATCGTTGAAAATGCAGAGTGCATAAAATCATTTAGCTTCAGTTTATTTCATGCCAACCAAGGACATAAACATCCTATGGCTAAGGTCACGGTAATCATGAACCATTTTTGATAAAAGACTATAAATTTAATTTTTTAATATTATTTATTACTGTTATTATTATTATTATTACTGCATTTGTTACTATTTAAAAAATATTGTTTTTTTATATTCATTTTCAAAAGTTATTATTATATTTACAATTGAATATTTTTTTAAAATATATTTATTCCATGGAATTCTTTTATTATCGCCAATATCGAATCAACTTGTCCGTTATAAAAAAAAATTACATTAAATATAAATCTACTTTTATTACTGCAAAACATTCCTGTAATTTATGAATCTGTTCAGTTCATATTCAAGCTCGTATATATATATACTATAATGTAAGATCGAACAAAAACGGAATTTCAATACAATGACAAAAAAAAAAAAAAAAAAAAACGAAATCAACGTCTGCGATTTCGTTTTAATTGTCAATATAATTTTTATTTGCCAAAGTAGTCTCATTAAACAACTAACATGCTTTTCTGAAAATACAGTAAACACTCCTCACTTTTTTTTTCTTTATTTTATTTTTTTTTTTTATTTTACTGTCGTTTCTCCAATGTCCTTCATTTGATTACGAATCGCGCATTCTGACAAAAGACTCTTTCCTTTGTATCAAAAGAAGATTCCTACAATAAGGAAATCCTTCTCAAATTTCAAAAATATAATATTAATTTTTTTTTAATTCCTACAACAAATTTAATTATAAACAATTTTTTCAAAAAAATAATTTTTGAAAAATTTATATATGATATTATCTGAGAATTAATAGTTGTGATCAGAAAACAGGGGTCCAATTTGCAGTGTATTTTATATATATTACAAGATTTTTAGAAAAAGGAGATCCAATATTGAGAACGAAATTGCGCACTCTATATATAAAAATATATATAATAACGAAAATAAAAAGGAATCCTAATTTCGGAAAGATTTCAAAGGAATGCCGATTCTTTTTAAGTATACACATAATATAAAAACATTAATTGCTTGAGTGTACGTTTTGCACAAGGATAAATGACCATTGACTTTGTAACGTACATTTTTACGACGAGAAAGAACGATACGGTAATTTCCAATTATCTTTCATCAGATACTTGGTATAAGTAATTGTTACGAAAAGATATAGTTTCTAGCCTGATAAGTATCTTCATTTTTGTACTCTTTTTTTTCACAATCTCTTCAACATTGTATCGATTTTCAATTGCTTAATAACCTTTTTAACGACTTTGAAAAATTTGTATATTTTTTAATCGGTTAATGTGAATATTTATAGAAATTTTCTTTTGCTAATTTGACAAAAAAAAAAAATTATTCTTATTTCTTTTCTTTTATGTAATAAGTTTGTTTGAAATAAATAAAAAAAAAAAAAAAAGAAAAGTTTTTTCTCGACATTTATTATAAGTACTGTTAATTAATCCTTTGTCCTTGATCAAAAAATTTTTTAAAGATATGAGAAGCAGGCGAAATGAAATTTTTCGTCAACTGTTTTGCTTCATAATAATGACGATGCAGGAAAGCGTTAATCATATTTTACTGCGACTTTGGTCCCGTTTAATAAAAATTAATAGGAATTGCACACTACTGCATCAGGAGTCTCTCTATATATATATATATATTGAAGAAAGAACAACCATACACTAAACCAACGATAAGTAATGAACGACTAATTATGAATTAACATCGACGGTAATAACGGTAATAAATTGTAATTCTTACATGGATTGGTCAAGCTGAAGGCAATTATGCTCTTGATGACGCGTAACAAATGTAACGAGAAACATATTACACGTGCTCTCGTTAGGCGGGAAACTTTCGCCTTTCTTTGATATCAGTTACCTTTTGCGGTTTCTACCTATACTGATGCAATTGCCACAAGAGACGCGTTTATTTATTTCGATAGGCCATCATTTATATATATTAATAATCTTAATCAAATAATAAACAATATGTTATCAGTATTCTAACTATTATTCTT